TCCTCCCATTACACTCCACAGCATGTATTGTCTATAGTATTGATTTTGGTCTCGGGTACTCTGTACTCTTAAAAATCACTGAGGATCCCAAAGAGCTTTTGTTTACATGTGTTATATCCGTTGATATTTACTGTATTAGAAAAACTGGAAAAAATTTCACAGGAATACACAGTGCACAATTTCATTAGCTGTTAGAGCAATGATGTCATCCCATGCAGTCATGGGGCCTATGGAAAATTCCTCTGCACATTCACGAGAGGAGAGGAAAAAAGGAAAAATAACGTCTTAGTGTTATTTTAAAAATGGTTTTCACCCTCCAGACCCCTCCAGGACTCCCCAGCTCATACTTTGAAAACTTCTGGTCTAGGACAGTGGTCAGCAAACCGTGGCTCTCGAGCCACATGCAGCTCTTTGGCCCCTTGAGTGTGGCTCTTCCACAAAATACCACTTGCGGGCGCGCACATAGGCCTTCAGTTAATGCTATAAGGGTCTAAAGAAGAAAGCAAAAAGGCGGGCAATTGCAGGGCTGAACTCTCCGTGAAAGGAGGACTAGAAAAAAAATCCAGTCATTGCATCAAGAAGATGCTGAGAAAGTTTGCCTCCACCTGGGTTCTGGGGGGAAACAAAAGTTGAAAAAGTGAAATCCCAAGCTTATGCTTTGAGAGGTTCTGGAGACTGAATGCATACTGCCCATCAGTGGCTACCCTAACTAAGAGATGCACATAAAGAGTGGTCCTAGTTATGTTACCTCTAGGACACATGCAGAAGCAGATGGAAAGTCACTCTAGACCAGGGGTCCTCAAACTTTTTAAACAGGGGGCCAGTTCACTGTCCCTCAGACCGTTGGAAGGCCAGACTATAGTTTAAAAAAAACAACTATGAACAAATTCCTATGCACACTGCACATATCTTATTTTGAAGTAAAAAAACAAAACGGGAACAGATACAATATTGGTATTTGCATGTGGCCCGCGGGCCGTAGTTTGAGGACCTCTGCTCTAGACATAGGAGCTTTCCATTGAAAAATCAAACTCAGTTGAAGATGAATCTTCAGTTTAAAATATGAACAAGAATTTGCACACACAATAAGCAGAAGAGTCAATAACTCTGAACTTGAGGTCATAGAAAAACAATCTGAAAAAGACTGCACATTCAGGGATGGTTACATGGCTAAAGAGATGAAAAGAAAAAGTAGAAGCCACAGTGAAAGAGTAACACATTATAAAAAAGAATGAAAGATAACTGATAATACAACATATTTGCATTCATGTTCAAATTCAATAATTAGTAGACAAACTGAGGAAAACTGGCAGGCACCAACCAACTAACAAACAAAACCACAAACCCAACAACATCCTCCCTTCCCCTAAAAAAAACATACACAAAACCAGCATACAAAAAGACTCCAAAAGCCAGACCTTGGAAAGAGAAAATGGTAAGCCTACATTTTGTCCTTGCATATTTCAACCCAATGAAGCTTAGCATGGTTTATACACTCTTGTAAAATATACCAGTTAGCATTAGGATTATCTTGAGGATAAGAATGTAGGTACTAAACTTGGTTGCCTAGGGCATCAAAATAATCTATTATAATGATACTAGTACCCCTTCGCATGAATCCGTGTACCAGTAGCTCGCCAGTAGCTTGCTGCCACCCTCCAGTAGCTCTCCGCCCACTGCCCTGCCCTCCTGTAGGTCCCCCTGCTCTCCCTCCCCCCTGCCCCCCTCATAGCTTGCTGCCCTGCCCTCTCCTGTAGCTCCCCACCGCCTGCTTGTAACTCGCTGCCCCACCCTCCTGCTGATCTGTGATCCAGTCGTTATGGTCGGTCGTTACACTTCACGGTGTAATGATCATTTGCATATTACATCTTTATTATATAGGATAGTCTTAAATCTCTGTTGTCAGAGAATGAAAGGATCTGGTAAGCTAGTGTACACTGAGGACACGGTTTGTTGCCTTTTACAAAGATATTCCTTTTTTTAAGGGAGAAGACTTTTAATCCAAGGTTGTAACTATGTGAGCGTTAAATTTTCAGAGAGTGATTATTGGTATACCTAAGACCAATCATGACCATGAACTTCAGCAGTTCTAAAGTGATTCCATTTATTTTTTACTTCTAATATTTCCTTTGTATTTATGTACACCTAAAAGATTTTGTGTCTAATTCTTCTTTTTTTTTTTCTTTTTGTTAATCCTCACTCGAGGTTATTTTTCCCATTGATTTTCAGAGAGAGTGGAAAGAAAAGGGGGAGGAGAGAAAAAGAGAGCGAAACATTGATGTGAGAGAGACTCATTGATCAGTTGCCTCCTGCACCTGCCTCAAACTGGGATGGGATCAAACCTGCAACCCAGGTACATGCCTTGGGGAACCGAACCCACAACCCTTCAGCATGCAGGCTAGTGCTCTAACCACTTAGCAACACAAGCTCTTTTTGATTTAAGTAAAGAGTTAGCCCTCCAGCATGCTCAGTGGTTAGAGCATTAGCCCAAGCATCAGAGGGTATTGGGTTCAGTTCCCCATCAAGACGCATACCTGGGTTGCAGGTTCAATCTCAGGTCAGATCGAGGGAGGGAGGCAACCAATCAATGTGTCTCTCTTACATCAATGTTTCTCTTACTTCTCTTCTCTTCTCTTCTCTTCTCTTCTCTTCTCTTCTCTTCCCCACTTCCCTCCCTCCCACTCTCTCTGAAAATCAGTGGAAAAAATATCCTTGGGTGAGGGTGAACCAAAAAAAAAAAAAAGAAAGAAAGATAGAAAGAGCTAGTACTATAAATAGCTTTACTGGGAGCACATATTCCCAATTTATTTCCATTTGTTAATTTATTTTATTGGAAACTTGTGATTAAGATGGCAGCTAAAGATATTTTCATCCTCTTTCTCTCTAAAAAGCTCATTCCAAAGTGAAAATGTCAATATCTTAGAAGAAAGTGGGAGGCAACTGAAATCCTTAATCATATATAAAGACAAAAAGGAGGAGGAGGCATGGCAAATAACTTACCTGAGAAAAGAAAACTGCTGTGTGTGTTGGGGAGGGGTTGCAGGGTGTCTTGATGAAGTGCCTTGCGGAATCCTGAAAAGCTTCAGGAATAAGAAGTACAAGCAGGAGTGAGGCGAGAACTGAAAACAGAGCTTGTTTAAAAAATCTATAGAAGGCATGAGATCCCTAGCCTTCCGCTCCCTTCCAGCAGCAGTTAGACAACAACCCCTCCTAACCCCACAGAAGAATACCCTGAACCAGAGAGATTCTCACTGCCTGAGGCTACTGCACAGAGGGGGTAAGGATGGGTTTCTATACGGAAGGCAGGAAGTCTGAATCCTGAGTACCAAGAGTTCCTTTCCGAGGCTCCCTTATCCTCATCCTCCACCTCCAGCTTCCTGGCACCAGGCTTATATCCCCCCCTCCCCCCGCAAGAGATGGTCTTCTTTGCAGAAACTGAAGCACCTTGAGAAAAGACCTAAAGATGCTGACAGTTGGCAGGTCCCCGTGAAAAGGCTACAGGAAGCCTGACAGTCACAAGCTGCACCCCACACAGAAAACTTTTTATGGACTTTTCGCAACCTCACTGTTAAATATGAACACTGAACCTCCAGGGATCAATATTTTTTTTTAAGCTTCCAGAATTGAAAACTGATAGAGACCAAAACTATCCACACCATGGAGAAAGGAGGAATTCAAGGAGACGGTGAAAGTGCAATGAATGACAGAAAACTTAAATAAAAATGAAAAACTAAAATATCTTCAGAGAAATGAGAAGATATTGCATCCATGGAACAAGGATAACATGCCATTAAAAAGGAGCAATTAAAGAATAAGGACAACTCATAGACATACACACATGATTTTCACTTTCACGATCTTATGTTTTGTGTATCTATGTATGTATGTATGGATAGATAGATAGATAGATAGATAGATAGATAGATAGATAGATATTGGAAGATAAAGAAAAGGAACTCTTCCAGAAAGTTCAACAGAATTAAAGAATTAACCCAGGAACTGTAACATTCTGTTAATAGGAGTTAGTATCTTCAGAAAGAGAATAGGAAGCATACTGGGGAGAATGTTCTCAAGTAAATAAACCAAGAAAAGTTTCTAGAACAGATTGAAAAGTACCATTCTGGGTCCAGCATAATACATAGAAAAGACTCACACCAAAGCCATCACTTTGAAACTGAAGAAAACCAGGAATAAAGAGGAGATGATGAAATCTTCCAGAGGAAAAAGGAACAGGTTATGAATGTGTAAGGAATAAAAATCAGAGTGGCATCAGACCTCTGAAAAGTAGCACCAGAAGCTAAAAGGCAAGTAAGCAAGGGCCTTCAAAATTCAGAAGCAAAACAGTGTCAAATGTGGAAACATCTACCAAGCTAGACCATCAGTCACGTGTGAGGGATTATGCAGATATTTTTAGCCATGCACACTCAAAAAATTTCACT